TCTCTCTCAGTCTCTCTCTCTCTCTCTCTCAGTCTCTCTCTCTCTCTCTTCTCTCAGTCTCTCTCTCTCTCTCTCTCTCTCTCTCTCTCTCTCTCTCTCTCAGTTCTCTCTCTCTCTCTCTCTCTCTCTTTCTCTCTCATCTCTCTCTCTCTCAGTCTCCTCTCTCTCTCTCTTTCTCTCTTCTCTCTCTCATCTCTCTCTCTCTCTCAGTCTCTCTCTCTCTCTCTCAGTCTCAGTATCTCTCTCTCTCTCAGTCTCTCTCTCCTCTCTCTCTCTCTCTCTCAGTCTCAGTATCTCTCTCTCTCTCTCTCAGTCTCAGTATCTCTCTCTCTCTCTCTCTCTCTCTCTCTCTCTCTCTCTCTCAGTCTCTCTCTCTCTCTCTCTCTCTCTCTCAGTCTCAGTATCTCTCTCTCTCTCAGTCTCTCTCTCTCTCTCTCGCCCCCCCCCCCCCCCCCCCCCCCCCCCCCCCCCCCCTCCCCCCCCCCCCCCCCCCCCCTCTCTCTCTCTCCCTCAGTCTCAGTAATTTGGCTTGTATGTTTTATTTGACTTAACATTTTATTGAAATCGATTTTTTTTAAAAATCGCCACTTTATTTTTTTGAATCTTAACAAAAATTTCTCAATAAGAAAAAGAAAAACAATCCTTGAATTATTTTTATAAAATGATTTCTAATGATGAAAAAATTCTAAATAGTTTATCTCACTTTATATTATAACAGAAAATATATTTTTGATGGAAATATCGTTCGAAGTAGATTTTATTTTACTTAAGCCTTCAAAATATTATTTTATGCGCTATTTTACAGCGTTTACAAATTGATTGTAAAAATCGCAGCAAATATCATTTTCCTTAAGATTGGTACATACAAAAAAGGTTATTTGAATTTTGATGTTCGTATTCGTATTCGGGCAAGAAAATAATTGAAAAAAATTTATATTTTTTAAAATGTTATAATATTGCATTTAAAATTTTTTAAAAGTAAAACTAAAAAAAATTGAAAAAATTAAATGATTAAAATGTATAGTTTAAAATTTAATTTCTTTTTAAAAAGCTGCACAGGAACTCATACACACTAGTGAACACATTTTAATAATTTTAAAAATCGCTTAACATTGCATTTTAAATTTTTAAATAGTAACTAAAAAAAATTGAAAAAAATTAAATTATTAAAATGTGCAGTTTAAAATTTAATTTCTTTTTGAAAAAGCTGCACAGGAACTCATACACACTAGTGAACACATTTTAATAATTTTAAAAATCGCTTAACATTGCATTTTAAATTTTTAAATAGTAACTAAAAAAAATTGAAAAAATGAAATTATTAAAATATATAGTTTAAAATTTAATTTCTCTTTCAAAAAGCAGCACAGGATCCCAAACACACTGCTGAACACATTTTCACAAATTTAAAAATTTATAACATTACATTTTAAATTTAAAATCTGCTGTTGAAATATATTGGCTATCACCTTGGGATACATTAGTATATTTCAAACAGCATCCGAATGTTCCAGAAGGTTTGATAGTTAAACGGTTAAAAGTAGCTTTGCTGGACGGGCTGTGGTCAGCTTCTGATAACTTTTCATATTTTCCTGGGAAAATTTTCACTCCTCTGAGATAATGAGCAATCGGGTCCTTGAGCATAATTGTAAGAACAATGGATCACAGAAAGAAAAGACTGCAGTCTCATCCTATCTCAAGGCTGAGAATCAAGCAGGGCTGTGGAAGGCTGCCCAGAAGGTGTCTATATCTCTCTCTGTGATTCTCTCTCTGTGGAAAGCAGCCTCCGAAGAGTGGGGGCTATCTCTGTGACAAGGGGAGGTGGAATTAGTACCACACAAAAGAAAGATGTAACTTTGAAATAGTTGGAGTTGTGTACAGGGTCAGCACACTTAATCAATACTGATTCTACTGTATCTATGTATATGTACAGGGTGAGGGAATTTACTTCCAGTAAGAAAGTGACCATTAAAAGTGAAAGAGGAGGAGAAATGGGTAATAAGGTTTTGGTTCTGTTTGCTGGGCAGAGAAGTAATAATAGTAGTTGGTCCGGGGAAACCCGGAAGTCAGGTTAGACAGTATGAGTGACCTCTAATAGCTGGTTGCGTCTGTTGAGTTTACTGGAGCCACTCTCTGTGGTTTGTTGTATTATTGTCGACTGAACAGTGTCTGTGTATAACTGGACGGATCAGAGAGTTTACCCTCTTTACTGTTGGTAATATGAAAGTTGTCTCTGAGGGGTATTTCCAGGGGCCGATCTCTCCAGTGTATGTCAAGGTTGATCCCAGGTCTACTGTTTAGTCTGGAATATGAAAGAAAGGGATTAAGGGATATGGGGATAAGGCAGGCTCAGGTTATTAGCTGGAGTTAGATTAGAATATCAGCCATGATTGAATGGCGGGGCAGGCTCGAAGGGACAAATGGCCTACTCCTGCTCCTACATATCATGTTATGAAACAGTGCCTGGATACGTTTTGTCATCCCTGTATTCTCAGTACTACTGTTTGGCCTGGATTACAGAACAGAGTCTGAATACGTGCTTGTTTTTGTATATCTGTCGTATTATTGTGTTGTTGTATGTCATAAAGTTAATTATAGATAGTGAGCTTTACTATTTGTTTTATAAAATAAACACTATACTCTTACCATGTCAGTCAGAGACAAGCTGATGCCCATCACATTTGCCTCCTGAATCCTGACAGGGTGGAAAAGACATTTGATGTCTGCGAGAAACACCTTCTAGCGACTTACTGGGCTGTAAAGCATTTTAACTTTATTACCAGGCTCCAGAAATTACTCCCCCCACACCCCATTGAACCTCTTGTTGAAGCCTGGGGACACTCTGGTTTCCTCCCAGCACCTAAATCACTGGATGTTGCTGCTTATGGAATGCGATTTGGAGGTGGTACCCCAGAAAACTACCTCTTACCGCTTATGATGACCTACGCAGGGATTCATGAATGCCCTTTAACTCGGCTTGGATTCTGGCAGAGCGTAATGCATCGCCAGAGCATACCAGAGGGCCAAGCTGTGTACATCGACAGATCATCTTTCCATGATCACAGAGCCCCCTGCACTAGATTCACAATTATCATCCCACGGGATACAGAGATACTGTGCAAATGTGGATACCACTCGGCCCAATCCTGCAAACTCGCAGGCCATCATACATACCAGGGACACACCCGCCTATGTGTGGTCTGACAGTGTGTATGTGGTGAACACGGTGATGATGCTGCCGCCCCTATACCAAGTTAACAACTTCTGTACTAACGACGGAAAACTGCTGACACAGTGTACATATGGCAATCACTACTGGCTCCTAAGGCTCACTCTTCCTTGGGAAAGTAAAAGGACATGCCCGAGCTTTGGATCCCCATCACAGGGAAACTCGGTGGTGGACTGCGCTGCTAAGTATATGCATGAACAGTGGAGGAATAGACCTTATGCCCTCAACCACCTGACAACAGCACCCAGGTCGAGGCTATTGCAATTCCCCCCATCCCTGGATTTGGTTGGGTTACAGACATCATATCCACCCTACCGGATGGTCATCAAGTGGCACAAGGAAGGTCAGCCCCTCCTACAGCCAATTGCCTGGGCCCATCAAACCATTCCGCCTCCTCTGATGCATCTCAGGAACAACTGTTAATGCACATTCCTCACCCCACCACAGGTCTACCGGTCGTATGCATTCCCCCTTCTTTGTCAGACGTCTTTACTATCCGCCACTCACACCCCGTCTCAGGCCACATTTCAGCTCCTCTGACCCTCCAAAACGTCCTCTGCACCATGTGGTGGCCGACAGTGGTATCGAATATTGCTGCACAACCCACCTCCGTGCTGTCAGAGGGCCGCACCCACATGGGTAGATAGTGATCAGGGATCCCATTTCACAGGACAAGTGTTTTCCCAGATGCAGGTAATGCTGGGGACAAAACAGAAGTTACATATCTCACACCATCCCTTGTCATTAGGGGTGGTGGAAAGGGGAAACCGGACGCTAAAAAACAAGTTTTAAAAAAAATGTTTTGTGTAGACCACCCGGAGCAGTGGACTGAAATGTTATCAATGTTTTTAATGGTCATCAGGACGACTCCTCATTCTACCACCAGGATATCACCCTATCAAGCCATGAGAGGAAGACTCATGATAACCCCAGGCCAGATAATGGTCCCAAGCATTAACCCCATCCAAATGGGGGTGCTTACTGAAAATTGGGTATTCAAAAGAAAGTGTCTTGAGGTAACAATCAACTTGTGGCCACAAATATTGATAGATCCCAACAGACAATGCAAAAATGTTTCAACAAAAAAATCATGGTCGCCAAGTACCAGGTCGGTGACCCGCTTATGGTATTAGACTATGGGAAAAAGGACCACCCCTTCTGCCCAAAATAGCAGGGGTCTTTTCCCATCATAGACAAAGCCAGTCCATCAGTGTACTTGCTGCAATATGCAAAGAATAGTAGGAAGCACACTCGATGGCACCATATCAACCAATTAAAGAAGGGAAATTAGCTGATAATAAGCTGATGAGCCACGATGGGAGGACCACCACATCTTGTACTCCTGGGTCTTTATGAACACATTTTGATCAGTGGGGTCCAACTAGAACCAATTCCCCTACCAATGGGACGGTTTGACTGCAGCATGTCCCAGGTGACGGGGCCACCAGCTTTAAGAATCGGGACTGGATGTTACGGAAAACTATGGGTACGATTCAGCTATCCCCGGGTAACCTGAATGGTCCAGTGCGGTAAAAGGAAAAGATGGAGGGACTCCCCACATGCCGGCTGTTCCAGATAAAACCCGCAGGGGGAGCCAAGACCAACTCTTCATGGGTCAAGCTTGCATCGGGCAGCTCAGACGTACCAGGGGTCTACTGACCGGCGTTTGTGTTATGGAATAACCCCTTGACCGACCTCAGGATCCTAGCCCAGAATGGACTCTGCCTGTGGAACCAGAATGGGACAGAATTCAACACGACAGTGGATGTTGTGGACCGGTGTCTCCCAAGCAATGGGATGCAGGCACAGGACATTAGTATACAGTACACTAATGTAATAAGCCAGCGTATGTCTGTATGGTCAGGATACTCATTTATTTTGAAATGTACATTACACTTAGACGTAGTGTGGTCCTACAATGGGAGTAGGTATGTGGGCAAATGGAATGGATATCTATAACCGTCCCAGTAAGAAATTTTGAGGTTTGTAAGACAGGGAAGGGATCCCGGGAAATACCTGGTACTTTCGCCCAGGACAGGTGGGGATACCCTATGTAGAAACCACACAGGGAAAGAACTCTAAATGGCTGCTGCATTTCCCCTATGTCTATGCTGGGGATGAAGGCTCATACAAGTGCGGGATAGATGTGGGCTCAGCTTATTCAATCCTGGTGGAGGATGCAGTGGGCAAGTACCATACCTTCCGCTTGGAGGTGGAAAGTGAGCCCGAGCCATTGAGAAAGAGGTCATGTGGGGATTTAACTTTTACCCCAGGCTTGGTAAATGGCTTGGTGCCTCAGGTCACGCAACAGCAGGTATACATGGGGGGGGGGGGCAGTACAAAACATATCCAATAATCTTGGATATTTCCGGGCTTGGTCTTCCCATAGGATTGTGTGATAAACACTATTGGGATTGGAACGGACATGTGATGCAACAGTACCTGGCCCAATTCCATTGGGATACCACTAATGCCCAACCCCTCAAACCACCAATGTGAGCAAAAAATCACTCACGGACTGAGCAGCCGGGAGTGCAGCAGAGCGAGCAGCACTAAACTGTTTGGATATAGAAAATCAGTACTACAAGTCCCAAAGGTTACAGGAAGCACTAAAAAATCGGCTGTTTAAATTGAATGAACAGGACAAAGATGACATTCATGAGCTGGGAGAGGGAGTTCTGTACTTCGATGATGTTGTCTAATCCTTGGCAACCACCCAGGACAAGGTGAACGAGATCCTGGCAAACCAGGATGACCAGCCGGCTAACTCCTCCTGAGCAACCACCTGCTCCTTGTACCTAGCCTACCTACAACAAATGGTCCAATCCACCTTCCTCTCATTACCATAGAATCAGCTACCTACTTGGTTCACTGATGCTTAGCTAGAAGAACTAGTGCCCAGAGAAACCAATTTCTGCTTAGTACGACAGTTCACCCAGGTTAAGCCCCGAGAATGTCTGGGTTCCCCCTCACTAGATAACATTGGTTTGGTGCTTCAGTTGCCATGGTTCAGGTCACTGTGGCCTTCCCCATTATTTGAAGTTGCATCAAAGGTGTCGTGCGCCAGGGCCACTGAGTCCAGTATGCCCAATAGCCTCTGTACCTGAATGCAATCCATTGGAAGGGGTTGTGACTGACCAACTGGGGAGATACTTGGATGTGCCCACTGGAAGAGGTTCCTATCTCCTGTGGGTTTACCTTGTCCTCTTCATCCCCTGAATGTGGGATGACTATAATATCACACTGGTCTGGAACCTTGGTATCCTATAAAGGGTGGGGGAATACTGCTACACCTCATCAGAAGCCACCTTCCAGGTAGGGCTAAAAGGATGCCCTCTCCCATACACCTCTGCATGTTTCTTCCCTACCATTCCAGTAAAATTGGGGACCCATTATCTCGAACACAAAATCATCCACAATATGATCAGGATTCAGTTACACTCAAACCTCCATTGAGAGGCATTGGAAGCAATTGCCCAATTTGGTCATCCCATAATGTCCCTGAGCGTGAACCAAATTTTACAGCCCAATATTACCTCACAAAAGCATCTGCTCCATATCCATGAACAGAATCAAATGACCAATGACTCAATTAGGCATTTAGGAGACCATCACTGGTGGCAGGTGGTATACAATGCAGGACAACATCCCTTTGCTCGCTTGGCATCATATACCTCCCTGGTAGTTCAAGTAGCAGTGACGATAATGTTAATCTGGTCCATCCGATGGGTTCATAAGTATGGCTCGTAAATTACAACATTGATGGTCCCAGATGGACCTTATGCCTTTACTGCAAAAATGAGGGGTCAATACTCTGGTATCTCCACCTCAAGGTCGGGACTGTTAGAATAGACCGATTGTGGGTATAGCGTCATTATAATATGTATGTAATTTTGAAACATGAATACCTTTGTAGGTAAATGTGGTATGGATAAAGTGTGTGCATCAGAAGGGTTAAAATGATGGGATGCCGCAGGGTCACAGAGACTTGCCGAGTCAGCAGTAACAGGCAGTCAGGCTGGCACCGGTTCGAAAAGCATGTCAGGGAGTGAAACAGTGGGGGCAAATAACAGAACTGAACCAATCAGTCCAAAAATTGGCTATAGACATCTATAGAGAATGATGGAACAAGCTGTGCTAGATAAGGAAGAATGGAGTGCTTGAGAAACAGGCTTAGGCCAGTCAAGATAGGGAAAAGATGATTCAGGGTCTAGACAGAGGTCGACACTCAGGAGGAAGGTCACGAGGGGAGGTCTGGCTGACGTCAAGACCTGGGAAGAAAACTATAAAGATAGAGGTAAAAGGTGTTGAAAGGCACAACAGTTGAGGATTACCTCAAGGAGAAAGCCGAGATCTCCATCCTGCCACTGTTGTCCAGACTTTGAGAATGTGTAGTATGTTTTCCGTTGTTCTGTCTTTAGGTGGGAAGGTGTTAGTTACAGAAGTAGGTGGTTGAAACTCAGGGAACAGGCTAGGCAGCATGAGAGGGATGCTGGTTTAGAACGTTTGTTTTGATCCTGGCTGCTCTGGAGGCCACCCTTTGTGACTTCGGGAATTCAGTGTTGTTCATTGTGAGCACTGCGAGAGTCATTCATGTCTGAGGGGTTATTCAAGAATTATCTCTGTGCAAGAGTTGGTTGAAATACAGTCCTGGGTGCCATTCTTCCAGAAGTATGAAGTGAAACTCAGTCTGTGGTGTAGGTCCAGGGTGCTGGACAACAGTGTGCGTTATGCAGTGGTGCTGGGTCAAAGCGCTGAGCAACACGGGTGTGTGTGTGTGTGTGTGAGTGATAAGGATTAATGTTGTACAAGTATCAATAGTATTACAATTGTAGAACAAATACAGGTTTCATCCTAATTAAATGACTCTTATACTCTTATTACCATCTTGTGAATTATTTACAAATTGTCTGACCCGGTCTGCTCCTCCTGCGGAGCACAGCGAGCTGTGCACCAGGCTGCGTAGGGCCTGGTCCGTGCCTGCTGCAGAGCACAGTGGGCTGTGCGCCATCCATGGGCCAGGCCGGGCCCTGAACAGCCGGGTGCACAGCCGTTGCACACTACATTAGGCAAGGACCAGGCCGGGGCCTGCGCGGTCAGAAGCATAGCCCACTGCACACTGCAGCAGGCATGGGCATGGCTGGGTTGGGCCCTTAGCAGGTGGGTGCACAGCTGACTGCAGGGCCCGGCCCTGTCTGCGCATGCTGCAGAGGGTAGTGGGCTGCGCAGCTGTTCAGCTGTTTTGCTCACTGTGCTACAGTGTGCAGAGTGCTGTCTGCACCGCTATCTGCCCTGTTGTGACGTGCGTGGTTCCGGGGTAAGGCGTGGACCAGGGCAAGGCAGAGTGATTGAGGGAGAGCGTTTCAGAGTTTCAGGGCATAGTTGTTCAAGGCACGGCTACCAATGGTGGAACGTAGGGCACGAGGGACAAACAGGAGGCTGGAGCCAACCGAGCGGTGGCAGCGGATGGTGGAGTGGGGGGGTAAGCAGTTCGGAAAGGTAGGGAGGTGCGAGGATATTAAGTGATTTGGAAACGAGTGACAGGATCTTGAAGGTGATCCATTCAGTGATTGGGAGCCAGTGGAGCCTGCCAAGAATTGGTGTGATGGGGATACGGAGGTCCATGCGGGTGAGTTTCCGGGTGACGGAGTTTTGAATTCATTGAATTTTTTCTATGTGGAGCTGGGGAGACTAGCGAGGAGGGCATTGGAATAGTCCATCCGGGAAGTAACGAAGCATGGACAAGGGTTTCAGTGGTTTGTGAGATACGGACAGAGGCGGCCAATGTGACACAGGTGGAAAAAAGCAGTCCTTACAGGGAATGTACATGCAATAGAAAGGAAAGCTGGGGACCAAACCTAATGCCTAAATTGTGCACGGGTTCAGAGAGTCTGAGGGTGAGCCCGGGGAGGTTGAAGAGTTCAGGGACGCAAGAGAGAAGACGTTGACACAAGCCAGAGTATAGCTTTCATCTTACCGACATTCAGCTGCAGAAAATTTGTGCTCACCCAGGTCTTGATGTATGTTAAACAATCTGACAGGGCTGTGGGCTGGGAGTCACAGGAGAAGTAGATTTGGGTGTCATTGAGTGGAAGTTGACCTCATGTCTGTAGATGACATCGCCGAGAGGGAGCATGTAGATGAGGAAAGGAAGGGGGCCAAGGCTGGAGCCTTGGGGTACCCCGCAGGTGACCAGGTGGCGGTGAGAGGGAAAAACATTGGCCAAAATGAAGTGCTGGCAGTTGGTTGAGTACAATTCAATACAAATTACATTTGTATAGCGCCTTTCATATCGGGTGGACATCCCAAGGCACTGGTCAATCAGGGAGCTGGACCCAAGCTGAGGGTCGGGATTGGGTAGGGTGGAGAGCAGAGAGGTTAGGAGGGTGGTCGAAGGCTTGTTTGAAGAGAAGGGTTTTCAGACATGGCGTGAAGGAGGAAAAGACAGGAGTGAGGCGAAGGGAATGTGGGATGGAGTTCCATAGGGTGGGGGCAGAAAGGCTGAAGGCCAGTGCTGATAGTGGAGCAGGCCAGGCAGGGGACATGGCGTAGGCTAGAGCCTGCTGGAGCCTGGTGAGTGGATGGAGCAAACAGGTTGATATGGGGTCAGCAGGTCACAGAAGTGGGGAGGGGCAAGGCCGTGGAGGGCCTTGAAGGCAAGGATGAAGATTTTGAACTCTATTGTCTGGGGAATGGGGAGCCAGTGAAGCTGGCTGAGAATGGGGGTGACGGGATCACGGAGCCTGTTGCAGGAGAGGACACGAGCTGCAGAATTCTGGATGATCTGCAGCTTGTGGAGGGAGAGTTGGGAAGGCCAATAAGTAGGACTCGAACCATGCGAGTGCAGTCCCACTAAGGTGGCTGAGGAGAGCCGTTGGAGGAGGATAGTGTGGTTGGCTACGTTGAATGTAGCAGTGAGGTCCAGGAGGACGAGGAGGCAGAAGGGGCCCTTTTCACACAGAGAGAGGATGTTAATTGTTACCTGGACGAGTGCTGTCTCTGCTGTGGGCTGGACTGAAACCAGACTGGAAGGGTTTGAGCAGGGAGTGGAGGGCGGGGTGTGAGTGAAGTTGACAACACTTTCCAGGGCTTTGGCCAGGAAGGGCAGGTTTGAAATGGGATGGTAGTCCCAGTTATATAGCTCTTTTCATAATTTCTCAAAGCACTTCATAAATATAGAGGTGACTCCAAGCAAGAAATTGAAATAATTAAAGATGTTGACCAAAGGCAGTTTTTTTTTGAGGGCAGGAAAATAGGTAACAAGTCGATGGTTTTGGAAGAGAATGCAAGGAATGAGCTTGGAATGTGAATATTCACCAATGGTGAAGTGGATAGATCGAGAGCCAATCAACAACAACAACTTGCACTTATATAACTCTGCAGCTCATGTACTCTTGCACACCAGGCTCTGTGACCCCATCATTCCCACCCTCACCCGACTCCACTGGCTCCCCATCCCTCAAAGGATCGAATTCAAGATCCTCGTCCTCACTTTCAAGGCCATCCATGGCCTTGCCCCCTCCTACCTCTCTGATCTGCTGACTCCCTACCAACCTGCCTGCTCCTGACCCGCCCTACCATCGGTGGACGGCCTTTTAGCCTCTCTTCCCCCACACTCTGGAACTCCATCCCACAGTCCCTTCGCCTCACTTCTTCCCTTGCCTTCTTCAAGGACAGTCTCAAGACTCTCCTCTTCGATCGTGTCTTCAGTCGCCCTCCCACCTCTCTGCCTTCCCTCACCCCTACCCCACCCCTCCCCCATGCTCGGGTCCTGACCCCTGACTGTCCAGCTCCTTGGGATGTCCTCCTGACGTAAAAGGCGCTCTATAAATGTAATTTTGTTGTTTTTGTATAGCACCTTCCACGCAGGGTAGCATCTCAGAACACTTAACAGCCTTCCTGCAAGCATGGTCGAAAAGGAAGGTTTTCAGGTGGGACTTGAAAAAGGGAAGAGAGGGGACAAGGCGGAGGGATTGAGGGAGAGTGTTCCAGAGTTTCGGGGCGTAATGGCTGAAAGCGCACCTCCAATGGTGGAGATGGCAACCTCTAACCTGTTACTGAATGTTATTGTAACACTGTTCAACCTGATCAAACCCCTCTCCTTCACCCATCCCCTTTGCCCAGCTGGCTCAAACCATCCTCTCCACCATCGGTTACCAAGCTTTCAGCCAATATGCTCTGTACCTCTGGAACTCCCTACCTCAATCCCTCCACCTTGCCCCCTCTTTGCTCGTCTTATGGTCACATCATTTTGATCATGCCTACGGTCACCGCCCCTTTTTCCTGACTTGACTACAACATTGTTAAGTGCTCTGACATGCTACAATGTGTGAAGGGTGCTCGCTATTTTAATCCAAGTTGTTGTTTTGCTGTTTCGACTTTGTATTTTCACCCAACGCCTTGTGACGTCCTCCCAGTGTGAAAGGCTCGATACAAATGTAAATTGTTGTTGTTGATTAAGTGCTCTGAGGTGCTTCCCTGCATGAAGGGCACTATATAAATGCAAGCCCACCCGTTGCATAACCCACATTTAGTCTCTTCAAAACCCTTTACATATAACCTGTATTCAGTCTTCTGCAAAAGCTCAGAAAACAATGGTATAGTCCAATGGTATATCAATGACTTCATTGATTCAGCTAATGAACACGCGCTAACTCAAAAGTGACTTTACTGCAAAGTTGGTAGATTCTTATTTATCCATTTGATTTATGTAATCAAAAAATGCTTCTTGAATGCATTACATTCATTTCTTGAGATTTTTAAGATGCAGAAAATAATTGCTCACATTGTGCTATTCATAAACTGGTTAGAAATTAGTATAACACAAGTAATTGCAACCTTGTTTGTCAGAAGCACGGACCAAACAATTACTGCAACTTATATCACAAGCCGAGATAAAAAAAAGTTCGTTTTTCCAGCCTGCATGAGCTCAAAACTTTCATTGATCTTGTCAAATGGGAGTTTGTGAGTTACAAACTCATCCACCTTGATTTTCTTAGCCATGCATTCCTGCACAAGCTTGGGCACACTTCCATACTTTTCCACCCAGCATAGCAAATGGACAAACATGATCAGCCAAACTCAGTCAGTGACCGTCTTCACAAGGTGTCAAAGTGTGTCTCTTTCTTCCTCTCCTCTGCTCGCCACCCTGTAAACCTGTAAATATAGTGTATAAAGTGCAAATCCGTATCCTAGGCCTTTCTGCCTCCTCTCCTTCATCATCTGTATATTTCAAACACAACTGAAGATTGCATGTCCAAACTCTGTGCCTTTCCACATGCGCCCAGTCATCAGCTGGAAGGGTCAAGTTGCGATCCCATGTCCTGCGGGTCCAACCCCTACGATCACACTGGTTCCCCAGACCTTGTGACAGGCCTCCAGTGCAGCTCAATACAAGGTTGTTGAGGGAAGGCGAAAGAGAAGAGGGAAAGAATGAACTTAAAAACAGTTAAGAGATCAAATCAGACAAATATTCATCATACAATTAAACGGTATTCTATCAAGTGAGATAGCAAAGCATTTTCATTGAGCACCAGCTCAAGCATTGCAGTGGGTAGCCAGCCCTAGACCAAAACATTCCTTATTTGTACAAACAAACATAAATCTGATTGCCAGAAAATCCAAAAGCTGAGCAAGCCTATACATCAGGAGCTCTATGACACTGTAGAGATAAAGGCATTCTTTGACCTCTTAAAAACTGGGATTAAAAATCCACCTAGTCTAATGGGATAAAGGCTCCTCTCTCTATAATAATAATTATATTATTTATCTACTAATTGTTAAGAGTCTTCCCCATATCTTGATCTTCTACTACCTCACTCTTCTGCTCATCCTCTGATGTGCACTCCTGGTGTCACCACTGGCTATTTGGTCCCTCACCTCTGAAATTCCCTCCCTCACCCCACAGTGTCTTGACTTTAAATTCCGCCTAAAAAACCTCCTCTTTCTCCCTTGCCCAGTCTTTGTGAAGTGCTCCCAGACATTGTCCTACAGAAAGGGTGCTATATAAAT